TTTGTGATCATTGAGTAAATGCCTAAAAGAAGGATTGCTGGGTCATAGGAGAGCTCTATGTGGAGTCTTTTGAGAAACCTCCATACTACTTTCCAAAGTGGTTGAACAAGTTTACACTCTCACCAACAATGCAGTAGGGTTCCCTTCTGTCCACATCCCCTCCGGCATCTGTTGTTATTAGAGTTCTTGATTATAGCTGTTCTAACTGGGGTGAGGTGAAATCTCAATGTTGTTTTGATTTGCATTTCTTTTATGGCTAGAGAATTAAGCATTTCTTCATGTGTCTATTGGCCATCCTTCTTTCCTCTTCAGAGAAGTTTCTCTGTAAGTCTTTAACCCACTTATTTATTGGGCAGTTGTTTCTTTGAGGATTTGTTGTTGGGGGATTTAATTTTTTGAGTTCCAGATATATTTTAGATATGAGACCCTTATCCATTGTATGGCTAGAGAAGATCTTCTCCCAACCCGTGGGCTTTCTATTGATCTTGTAGCTATGTCCTTTGCCATGCAAAAGCTCTGCAATTTCATGCAATCCCATTTGTCCAACCTTTCTTTGATTTGTTGTGTTTCTGGGTCTCTACTAAGAAAATTTCAGCCTGTGCCAAGGAGACCTAGGGTTTCTCCTATTCCGTCCTGTAATGTTTTCAGAGTGTCTGCTTTGACTCCAAGGTCTTTGATCCATTTGGAGTTGATTCTCATGCAGGGTGACATATAAGGATCTAGCTTTAATTTTCTACAAGTCATTAACCAATTTTGCCAGCACCATTTACTGAAGAGGCTGTCTTTCTTCCATTCTATTTTTTTAGCTCTCTTATCAAAGATTAGGTGGCTATAGGTCTTTGGGTTCATTTCTAGGTTTTCAATTCTATTCCATTGGTCCTCGGGTCTGTTCTTATGCCAGTACCAAGCTGTTTTGATTTCTATGGCTTTGTAGTAGAGTTTGAAATTTGCTATTGATATTCCTCCAGCACTGTTATTTCTGTTAAGGATCATTTTTGCTATTCAGGGTTTTTTATTGTTTCATATGAATTTTTGGGTAGCCTCTTCTATTTTCTTGAAAAATGATGTTGGAATATTGATAGGTATCACATTGAATTTGTAGATAGCCTTGGGAGTATTGCCATTTTCACGATGTTGATCCTTTCAATCCAGGAGCATGGGAGGTTTTTCCACTTTCTAAGTTCTGTTTTGATTTCCTTTTTCAGGTTTTTAAAGTTTTCATCATAGTGGTCCTTCACTTCTTTGGTTAAGTTAATTCCTAAGTATTTTATTTTTTGTGGGGCTATTAGGAATGGAGTTGCTTTCCTGAATTCAGCCATGCTTTTCTCATTGTTGGCATACAGAAAAGCCATTGACTTTTGAGGGTTAGTTTTATATCCTGCTACTTTGACAAAGTTTTGAATCAGCTTGAGTAATTTGGGAGTAGAGTCCATGGGATTCTTTAAATACGAGATCATATCATCTGCAAATAGGGAGAGTTTTACTTCATCTTTTCCTATTTGGATCCCTTTTGTGTTTGCATTGTGTCTTATTGCTGTAGCTAGGCATTCTAATACTAGATTGAAGAGAAGGGGAGAGAGTGGACATCCTTTTTTCATTCCTGAGTTAAGAGGAAATTTGCCACCGATTCTTAGTTCTTACAGAGTCAAGCTCAATCCTTTGAGCTGAACATTCAAGGTCTTTGAAATCCTGTTCTCTATTGATTTCCTCAATTCTTCACTTTCCAAAGTATCATACAGTTTTCTCGTCTCTGCATTCATTTACCATTTATCTCTACATTACATAAACTCTCACTCCACACCCCCGTACCTCACATCCTTTCTCTTTCTTATCTCCTTTCTTTTCTCTCATAAAGTCAGATTTATGGAAACATCCTCTGTGAAGCCATACTCAATCCAACTCCAAAACACAAACTAGAACAACATATGTGCAGAAGAAATAATCAAATTAAGGTCAATGTCCTGAGGATATGTCAAGAATTGCTACAATTTGGTAGAGAAATATTAATTGTGCCAAGTTTGGATTCCCATAAGCAGTAATGAACACAGACAGCGTAGTCAGATGCTCCCAGGAAACACTTGAAGAATATCACCAAACTATTGATCAAGTTCTAAGACAGGGTGAAGATCTTAGGTATTTATACAGTAGTCCTGTTATATGAGAGTTGAGTCTGATCCTGAGGAAATTGTGGCACAATGAACCAAGCAAGGCTCTAGCAGCTGAAGAAAACCTTCAGGGGTTAAAAACAAGGTTGAGATCAGCAGGAGATGAGGGTCTACAGAATAGGAAAATGGCTAGGATAACTTCACATTTTTCTACAGGAGAGGTATAATAAACTTTCATAAGAAATCAAGAAAATGGCTATGATGATATTAGTAAAAGATAAAAATGTGTTATTATTTTACACTTACAAAACTGGCAAAAAAAAAGTAAAATCTAAGAAAGGCAAAGATTAAAAATGGCATGGGAAGCAAAGTTCTTTCACACAGACAGTTTCATTATAAATGGATAGAATTACTTTAAATAAAAGTGTAAGCTAATAAATTTAAACTTACATTCCCTATGACTCAGTAAAAGTATACTAGGATATATGTTCAGAAGTCTTCATAGAAGCAATGTGTCTCATAGCAAAACAAAAATCTAGATGCAAGTTTGAGATTCACAAAAACAAGAATGGTAAATAAATTGTGGGACATTCATACACTAGCATAGCATGCAATGAGGGCCGTTCATATCACAGTGGGTGAATTTGAGGGGGAAAGTACTTTTAAATTAATGTCTAAAAGTTAAAGGAAAATGGACCCAGCATGATATTCAAAAGCATGGAAATGGGGGGGGGGGGGGCGCGTTGGGAGATGCGAAGGGCAGAGAAGGGGAAACAAAGGAGCAGGCAACAATGCTTGATAAGAAATGTACTCATTACCTTGCCTATGTAATTGTAACCCCTCTGTACAGTATTTTCACAATTTAAAAAAAAGCATGGAAAAGTACACACCATATTTCTTTTAAAAAATGACATTAGGGCAGAAATTTTCTTTTTTAAAAACAAAATAATTAACGGTGTTTAGAAATATGGGAGGGGGGGTCAAAGAAAGATGTAGGAGGGAAAGGCTCCAAGAGATACTGGTCCTATTTCTTCATTCTACTGGATGTAAGCATTCAGTATCTTTTATATATAGAAAAACATTTTATAGCAAAGGTCAGGCAGAAGAAGAGAAACTGGAATGAATCTCAGATATAATAGCCCAGGAGTAGGAGGAGAAACTGGAAATTTGCTGTACTAGAAGCAACTGTTGCTAGGTAGTATGGGATAGAAAAGACATAGAGCTAATGAGATTGGGAGCTAAGAGGCCATGGGAGACTTTAATGAGTACCATTTTAGTAATAGACTTGGGATAGATCCTCAAAACAATGGCTGGAGGGTAGTAAAAAAGCAGTGAGAACAGGCAGCTTTTTAAATAATTTTGGTTGTAAATTCAAGAAAAGAGGATATAATTTTAGGAGAAAGAAAATTTGAAGGCTAACAGGAAATATAAATAAAACAATATATAGCTTGGATTAGACTAGAGATGAAGACATTAAAATATTTAAATAAAATTACCTGTAGAAAGCTTAATATTTCTCTCAGAAAACAATCTCTGGGAGAATCCTTGAATTAATTCATTTTATTAAAAAATGTATTTAATTTTTAAATAACTATTTCACCTAATTTCTAAAATTCCTTCAAATATATTTTCTCAAATTTTAATGCTTCTTGTAGTCTATAATTCCATTCAAATGTCTTTGGAATGTTATTGTTTATTTGTAATAAACATGAGGTAAATCAATTTGAATCATAATATTAAAGAAATTGTAAAACCAGACTCTGGTGGCTTATACCTGTAGTCCTAGCCACTCAGAAAGCTGAGGTCTAGAGTATAGAGCTTCAAAGCTAGCTGTAGCAGAAAAGTTTATGAGACTCGATCTCTGAAATAAAGACCACCAAGCCAGTCTAGAGTGACTTACATGGAAGTATGACAATCTTTTTTTTTTTTTTTTTTTGGTCTGGTCGTCGGGCCTGAACTCTGGGCCTGGGCGCTGTCCCTCAGCTCTTCAGCTCAAGGCTAGCACTCTACTACTTGAGCCACAGTGCCACTTCCAGCTTTTTGTTTTCTTGCTTATGTGGTACTGAGGAATCGAACCCAGGGCCTCATGCATGCAAGGCAAGCGCTCTACCACTGAGCCAACTTCCCAGCCCATGTATGACAATCTTGACCAAACAAGCCAAGCAAAAATATAAGGCCCTGAGTTTAAGCTCCAGTAAGAAAGAAAAGAAAGAAAGAAAGAAAGAAAGAAAGAAAGAAAGAAAGAAAGAAAGAAAGGAAGGAAGGAAGGAAGGAAGGAAGGAAGGAAGGAAGGAAGGAAGGAAGGAAGGAAGGAAGGAAGGAAGGAAGGAAGGAAGGAAAGAAGGATGAAAGGAAGGAGAAGGATGAGGAAGAGGAGGAAGAGGGAGGGGAAGAAGGAGGAGGAGGAGCAGGAGGAAGAGGAGGAGGAGGGAAGGAAGGAAGGAAGAGGAGGAAAAACAAAAGGAAAAAAGGTGGAAAGCGTCAAAGTGTCATTACCTTCCCTTTTCCGTATTTGGCACATTGGTCATCATGGTAAGAGAGAAACAGATTTGAAAGTCTCACTGTATAATAAATAGATATTCTTGAGTATGTACTTAATAGTCTATTAAGAAAAAGTATTGGCTGGTGTGGATAAGGTTTGTCCAGTAGTAAGAGATGCTGTTGCTGACTTTGATAGTGACATAAATCTCAATCTTAGTATAGAAGCATAGAGGTTGGGAAATACCATTTGTTTTAATAACAGACAAAATTTCCAAGTTGTAACAATACCCTCTATGCAATTCCTCTTTGTGAAACCAAAGGAAAATTAGAATTATTTTTCTTCCCAGAGATATACGGTTTTATTCTGTTCCTATAGCAACTCTGATAAATCCTAAAACTTTGCCTTCTTTTTAGACTCCCTGATGGATTCACACAGCTTCTAAACCTGACCCAGCTCTACCTGAACGACGCCTTTCTTGAATTTCTTCCAGCCAATTTTGGAAGGTAAGAATAAGAAATACAAAATTGTGCAATCTTAGTTCACCTTGGGTAAGCGAAGTTTTCAAAGAGCACAGTTGTGTATAGTTACACTGCATTAAGCCTGCGAGTAAAGTTACACCACAATAAGACTGTTAATTCGTGAAAGTTTCTAGTAAAAGACCTAATTTTAGGTCTTTACAGCATTAATAATTTTTTAAATCTCTTGATGAATTAAATAGAAAAAGCAGGAAAAAATGATCTTAAAAATGCAGAAAAATATTTATGGCTTAAGGTTACAAAATGCCTTTATAGAATCATAGCAAAATACAAGTGGACAGACAAATGTGAACTCTGAATGTTGTAAAATAAAATTGATAAGAAAATATAAAATTTAAGATAGATTAATAAACTAGGAAATATTTTCAGTATGAAAATCAAATATTTCCTCATGTAAATGATTCTTATAATATTAGTATGAAGATGAAAATGCAGGGCAGAAATGAGTGAATTAAATGCACAAGGATTTTTTAATAAAACATGCAATGGTCAAATACGCACATTATAAGGGCTTATTTCATAAATAATAAATATAATAATTAACATGATGGGTGTACGTGTTATCGTAACTAAAGCATGTGTTCTTAGAGATAATTTCATATTCTTTCAAATACCTGGAAATACAGCTACTGCCTTTATTATTCATTGTTAGAAATATTTCTCACCATGGTCAAGTATCAACTGGTTTTGTGGACAAATACATTTGTTGTTATTGAAAAGTGGAAAAACTAGAATTACACAGTCTCTAGGAGACTGGTTAAATATATTACAATCCATACATACAATAATATCATGTAGCAATTAGTCATCTCATGTCTGATGATTAAGTCTAAGGGTATATTTTAACAACATAAATAGTTGCCAGTATACATATGTAGGATATAAAAGACAAGTTACTTTGAAGTAAAATTACAGGGAAATTACATTTTCATTCATATTTTGTTTCAATATCTTCTAGTTGGAATATGATAGGATCATGTTTTTGGATAAAAGATACAGGTTAAATTAAAGAAATGTTAATTTCATTTTCAACTGATTTCTCAAATGATTGTGAAATTGTTTTACTAATATATAAAATTGTTTTACTAATATACTGGGCGTAATTTAATGCCTGTCTATTGACAGAAGCTATTAGATGCATTTTATGAACTCAGTGGTATAATAAAATCACTTAACATGTATCCACTACTGTCTACAAACTGAAAGCTCATGGGCATTTTCCAGATTCCTGTAATTCTGTGAATCAAAAATATTAAATTATCCATGAACAGTCTCTCCTGAGCAGGTTTAACTGTCACAGGTTTTTGAAAGAGCCTTTGCTGGATTTATAAGTGAATTGAGGCCTTAATGTTTACCTACACAAATCAAAGTGTTTCCTCTTGTACTGACTACAACACTACAATATGCTTTTGAAGCAGCAAATTATAAATTATTAAGTCAACATTCTAAGAAACTTTTCTGTTTTGAATTTTTGTCAATTCTCTTTAAATAGTACTAAAATGAGGATGAGATGTGGGCCTACAAAAAACATAACTCTGTGTGTGAATGTGTGTGTGTGTGTGAGTGTGTGTGTGTGTGTGTGTGTGTGTGTGTGTGTGTGTGTGTATGTGTGTATTTCTCCTTTGTCGCTGTTTTGACTTCTGAATTTTTTGTCTTGGATGTAAGTTTATCTGTTTTGGAGAGGGTAAGGGGGAACACACAAATGATAGGACAAGGGGTGAACAAATATAGCAGTGATACTAACTAGATGCTATGGTGAAAATGAGCTATATAACTTGGGAGGAGAGTCAGGAGGAAAAAATCTTGGAGAAAATGTGGGACAATGTGTCACTGTTCAAAAAGAAATGTGTTCAGTACCTGACTTACATAACTGTAACCCCTCTATACATCACATTTTTACAAGAAAAATTAAAATTAAAAAGTTCTCAATCGAAAAAAAACCATAACGCTAATACCAAAACTACTGGGAATTAGAATTTAAGTCATATAAGTTGTCTTCCAAGATATGCTTTCTTTTATTATAACCTAAAAAGTACCTAAAAAGTATTTAACCTTCAGCTAGGATAGTATAACATGAGGAAGTTAAAGATTCCCCTCTGAGATTGTGTACTCCTAAAAGCTAAAACAAAGTCTTAGGATATCATTGTATTAGTACAATTGCTGTGATTTGAAGCACAAAAGTATCTATGTGCTAAATAACTAAATCACTTCATTATTACTGATATTCATATTCTAATGAGCAATATCACTTTATTATATACAAGTGTAGTGGTAAGGTTGGAAATAAATTAGAAACTCGATAGACAAAGAAAGGGAAAGGTAAGAGAAACTAGATGAGTACCTAAAAGTTCAGTAAATCTTGGACGTCACAGCTAAAATAATTAAGAGTGAAACATTCCTAAACTACACATACATTTCAAGTACTAAAGTATCATTTCTTCAGCCAATTTCATTTCAGTATAATTTCTGCTTGGTGTAGACATAAATAACAGAATATTCCAGATCACAAGCATTAACAAATAATTGCTACAGGGATTTCTGAGATATCCAATAATAGAAGCCTTTCACTCTTTTTGTGTGATTTTTTTTTATCCAACTTCAGCATTGCTGCAGAACAGTTGAAAAAAGTTTTCAAATGTATTTATTTTTAGAAATTCTAAAATGTGTAGTTTTTTTTAATTGTGAAAATACCATACAGAGGGGTTACAATTACATGGGCAAGATAATGAGTATATTTCTTATCAAGCATTGTTGCCTCCTCCTTTGTTTCCCCTTACCATCTCTTCGCATCTACCACCCCCAGCCTCCCCAACCCTGCCAAAGTTGTAAAGATCGTTTTTCCACATAAGGACTTGCATTGTTGCAATGAGTCCACCTGTATCCCATTTTTTTTTTTTTTTTGCCTTTCTGATCTTATTTTTTTTTTATTGTAAAGATACTATACAGAGGGTTACAGTTACATGAGTGAGGTAATGAGTACCCTTCCTCTTGAACATTGTTACCCCCTCCATTGTTTTCCCCCTACCATCCCCTCCCTCCCTCCCTTCCCCGAGGTTCTTTTTTTTTTTTTTTGATTGTGATTAAGTGATTACATAATTTCAAAGTCACAAGTTCATTCTAACTTCCCTGGAGCAAATTGTCTACCACAGTCTGTAATATATAACAGTGTTCACATGTTATATACCATATTTGTGATCAGCAGCATGGGGATATTTGGTAGTGGTTCAACCAGATGAGCAGGAGTTCTTTGTTTCTTAAGTCCTGTTAGTTTTGTCGTATCACCTAACATTTTGGATTTAGCATCCACTTATCAGGGAGACCATGTACCGTTTGTCTCTTCGTTCTTGGCTTACCTCGCTCAACATGATTCCTTCTAGCTCCATCCATTTCCCTGCAAATGCCATTATTTTGTCATTTCTAATGGCTGCATAATATTCCATTGTGTATAGATACCACAATTTTTGGATCCATTCATCTGTGGTGGGGCATCTAGGTTGTTTCCATATCCTAGCTATTGCGAACAGTGCTGCAATAAACATGGAGGTGCATGTGTCCTTGTATATTGGTTCCTGTTGTTCAGGGTAGATGCCTAGAAGTGGTATGACTGGGTCGTAAGGGAGGTCAATCTTTAGCTTTCTAAGGACCCTCCAGACTGCTTTCCAAAGTGGTTGTATAAGTGTACATTCCCACCAGCAGTGTAATAGGGTTCCTCTTTCTCCACATCCCCTCCAGCATTTGTCGTTGGCTGATTTGTGGATGTGGGACATTCTGACTGGGGTGAGGTGGTATCTCAGGGTTGTCTTTATTTGCATTTCCTTCACCACCAGGGATGATGAACATTTTCCTCATGTGTTTCTTTGCCATTTTTATTTCTTCATTTGAGAAGTCCCTCTTTAGTTCCCTTGCCCATTTAGTAATTGGTTTGTTAGGTTTGGGAGGGATTAGTTTCTTGAGTTCCCTGTATATACAGGATGTTAACCCCTTGTCTGATATATTGCTGGTAAATATTTTTTCCCAATTAGTTGGTTGTCTTTCTAGCTTAGTTGCGATAGATTTAGCTGTGCAGAAGCTTTTTATTTTAAGGTAGTCCCATTTGTCGAGTCTCTCTCTCCAACTTGTTGTGACCCTGGGACTCTGTTCAGGAAGTTCCTTCCTGTGCCTATTAGTTCAAGTGTCTCTCCTACTCTGTCCTGCAGTAGTTTCAGAGATTCAGGTTTAATGTTAAGGTCTTTAATCCATTTTGAGTTGATGTTGGTGCATGGTGATAGGCTGGGGTCCACTTTTAGTTTTCTGCATGTGGCTGCCCAGTTTTCCCAGCACCAGCGGTTGAAGAGGCTGTGTTTCTTCCATTGTATGTCTTTGGCTCCTTTGTCGAATATCAGCTGACTGTAGGCCTGTGGATTTATATCTGGATCTTCTATTCTGTTCCATTGGTCTTCGGGTCTGTTTTTGTGCCAGTACCATGCTGTCTTTGTTATTATAGCTCTGTAGTAGAGTTTGAAGTTTGGCATGGATAGCCCTCCCATATTGTCTTTATCCCCTAGAATTGTTTTGGCTATTCTAGGTCTTTTGTTGTTCCATATAAATTTTTGGACTGTTTTCTGTATTTCAGTGATGTACGTCATTGGGATTTTAATAGGAATTGCATTGAATTTGTATATTAGTTTTGGAAGTATTACCATCTTTACTATATTAAGTCGGCCTATCCAGGAGCATGGAAGGTCTTTCCATTTCCTAGTGTTTTCTGCAATTTCTTTCTTTAACTTTTTATAGTTCTCACTAAATAGTTCTTTTACATCTTTGGTTAGGTTAATTCCTAAATATTTTATTTTTTGGGAGGTTATTGTGAATGGGGTTGCTCCCTTTATTTCCCTCTCTTCCTGTGCGTTATCAGTGTATAGGAAGGCAACTGATTTTTGTGGGTTTATTTTGTATCCTGCTATTTTGCCGAAGTGACTTATGATTTC